CTCTATTCAGAAGAGAAGTACTGTATGTAATATCTTATGGTCATGGTACCCTGTGTGGAGGAAAAGGCCTCATGAATAGTTCTGCTGTCCTTTGTGAGCCATCTGGACCCGATGCGGCCGCATTAGCCCAGGGTCTTCAGCGTAGGGAGAAGCACTGGATTTCCAGCAGATAGGAGGTGATCTCCACAGACAGAGAGGCTGAGTTTTCTTTTCTGTTGACGACCAGGAGGAATCCCTACGCAAAGACGATCCCCACAAACAGATAAACAGGGCCATGAGTCAAGCTACATCCAAGGTTGAATGAAGCAGGAATGGATTGGATGAACTCACCGTTGTTAATGGACCGTGTCGTAGATGCTTCAGGAGGTGAGCAGGGTTCTCCGAGATCTCGCTGCGCGGGTGAAGACGTAGGCAGCAAGGCTTGGGTGTAGGTGTTGGCTGAGGTCACTGGATGGACCTTTGAGCAAGGACAGGCTCTTATTCACCACTGGATCCTTTAATAGATTAAAAAGGAAGACATCTATAATAAATAAATGGTATCACATCAACTGGACTTTAATGATGATCTAAACAGCAAATGATCATTTAAACATACAATTAACTTGCTGTTAATTCTATGTTTATGATCATAAAGTCTGTCAGGTTGTGTGAACAAAACTCCAGTAACAGTAACATTAGATACGGCAGTGGGACAGATAACAAAGCTAGTTGAAGCCCTATTTTTGTCTTGATTACAATGATTGATTCAATGAGCTTTTAAATATTTTATTTTAATACCTCAACAATTTAATGTACATGTAAATTTAAGCACATGAAGTATTGTGTGTATATGTTTTAGGACACCGTGGTGGCTCTTCAGGCTCTGGCTCTCTACTCCTCTCTGGTGTTCAGTCCAGGGGGTTCAAGCACAGTGACTGTCCAGTCTCCAAGTGGTCAGCTGACATTTGATGTGAATCAAGACAACAAACTGCTCTACCAGGAGGAGGTGCTAAAGGACATGACAGGAAAATACAGCCTGGTGGTGCAGGGCAATGCATGTGCTTCAGTGCAGGTCAGTAGTTACTGGATCTCTTCCTGTTTGATATACATACACCACCACAAACATTACGCTAATATAACTATGCTTTAATAGGTCCCACAGGCTGTTATTGAGATTGTTGCAGCCTAAAATTCCTGATTTCACAGCAATGTATGTTGCAATGTTTTCATACATTTTGAAACAAGAGTGAAAATTGCAACAATAATTTAATTTTTTCGTATGATTCATGAGAAAATCTAAGGCAGTACTTTTGTGTTCGTTGCACAGAATTATCATGGATCATTGAATTTTCCTTAATTTTTGCGGTTGAAAATCCATGAAGGGACTGTCTAATGTTAACAACCCAGTTGTAATACAAAACAGTTCCAGAAGTTCCATACCCCCGATCTTATAGGTCCCTGTGGTATGCTTTGTTTAATCCAAGGTTGTTTCTTGTTCCAAAGAAATGGTGAAATCTAAATATTTTATTAAATAAATTATTATGAAAGGATTTTGTTAAAAAGATATGGGATGTATTGAAAAACATATACAAACAGAGGAAATCTGTGTCCTTCTTCTCTTGTCAGATCTCCAATTGGCATAAGTTCACTGTTTTGAAGATTAACAGTGTATCCAAATATTTAACCAAATTCTTAAGCAAAAGTCCAGGAGCTTTTGAAGGTTAAGAAAGTGTCAGGCATAAATAACAACATGTCGTCAGCATAAAGTGAAACATTATGCTAAGGCATGGCAAATAGCCAAATAAAACATTTTTCCTTCAAAGCAGCAGTCACTGGCTCCATTGCACGGGGAAAACTTGTGGCTAAGCTCAAGTACTATTACTTAACTCTCCTTGTTCATTTTTTATGAATATTAAACCTTCCTTGTGTGCTTTTATCACAGATTTCTATTCATTACAACATCCCGACTCCTGCTGATGTCACCACTCTCAGTGTGGAGGTCGAACCAGAGGCCTACTGCACCCGCAAATCTCAAAGAACCAAACTCACTCTGAAGTTAAAGTCCTTGTAAGTAATCTTTAACAACTATATTCAATGATATATATTACTGATAGAAAAATACTGAAAGTCTACCAGCTTGAAGTGAGTAAAAGGACGTGTGGGAATATGGAAAGCCCTTTTAACATTTAATCAGTATGGCTGACTAGTAGCCATTTAGTTTATTTCTAGTGGAAATGACATATTGTTAGTTCTGTCATTTTGATGTCATAATGTAATTTAGGATATCTGTAAATTAATTTTTACATGTTACAATATATATTTTCACGTTAAAATTACATTTTGGCTGGTCTATATTGATTCACAGATATTTTTAATGTAATCATAAATATCAATAATTCATTTTTACAGATATCTACAATGGAATTTCCACATGTTGAAGGATATTGACTAGTGGAAATGTAACCTCACCCTTTCAGATATCAGTAATTACATTTCTGACATGTCCGACATATTAACAACAATTTGCATATTATTTTGGATATGCTGTCCAAATTACCATTTTCATTTTGGATGTGTACCAAATGATGATTATGGTCATCAGCATGGTCGTTTGTCTGAACCAGCAGAGGTGACGTATTGTGAGTTGATCTGCTCTCATTAGTTGCGGAGTTTGGTCGTAGCAGGGAACAATGACAGTTCGACTGGTCACACACAATCGTATTACTGTATTAGAAACAGTGCACTAAAATATGTTCTGAAACAATTTTAGGTGAGAAATAGTCAATGCAGTAACAGAATCCTGCTCTGTATTTGATCAGCACTGCCTACTTTGATAATTTGAGTTTAGTGCGCTGAGCTGGACAGACTCACTGAGAATGACCTGTCAATCACAAGGTAGTCATGCTCAAAAGCATACCCTGCTTTATTGTCTATTTTACTCTAAACTGGACCACAATTTACTAAATGAACATCATGTTGTATGGAAGAAGACTTGGAACTAGAGACTGAGACCATAAACTCATTAGGAAACTGTTTACTGAGCTCATAAGTCAAGTGAGAAGTTGGGTCATGTCTCCATTAAGGCCTCTGCACACCAACCCGATTATCGGCCGTCGGACGTCGTCGGACAGATTCCAGGTCGGTGACTCGAATCGGTTCGGTTTTGTTGTCCCGTGCCGTCGTCAGGTCGGCGTCGGCCGTTCGATTTTGGGGCATTTCGACATGTAGAATCGGCCAGGTGGCCATCGGCGCTCGAATGACCATCTGATGGTGGAAAGAACAAAGGAAAACAAAAAAAGAAAAAAAAATGCTAGGTCCTTGGACAGGCGCAAGGTCAGTGAGTGCATGAGACAAACCGGAAGGGCTGCACGATGGTAAAGCAACGCCAGCTATTTCTTTGTTATTATTAAGCCATCCGGTATTTTCCATTCAGCTAGCAAGTCGACAAAACCGATCCATCGACTATCATATTCATTCTCTGAGAAAACAATTGACTGACTAAGCAGCGTGTTGTTTGATGCTCTGTACTAGGTCTAGATGTGATGCCGTCGTTTACTTTCCGGTTGTGGCGATTTGTTTGGCGACAACACAGAGTAGCGCGGGCGCTGAGTGTATGCACTGCTTTTGCGCGTTATGTGCACCCGGGGCAGAACGTACCCTCCAGGTTGGCGGTCGGTTTTTGTTGTGCTTCGGAGGCATTCTTTTTTGGACCCGACTCCCGAGGGAAGACGGGAGGCCGGAACTGATCCAGTCTGAACTGCTTTTCTTTTCACTTCAACTTCTTTACTACTTCCAGACCCAAAAGGCTCTGCTCCACGTACTAGTATACTGGCTCAATGATATGAACCTCATTTGAAGATATGCTTTACAACTTTACATTTCTGGTATTTCTGACATATCAACAAATCTTTTCGTATATATTGCCTAATTAGGCATCTTTTTTGGGGGGGGGGCATTTGT